TGATGGAAAACGTAAGAGGGGATTTTTCACTGAATCAGAAATCTTTAGATAGAAATTTTGAAAGGGAATTTTTATATGGATGCTGAGATAGATTCTTTCTTCGATCTTCTTTATTTTCTGGCATTGAGCAAATAACTGATAACAAAGCAATCGAAAGAAATATGAAAAAGTAGAAATAAACGTATAAAACGTATAATCGAAATTTTTTATTGTTACTTGCAACAAATTTTTCTACTTTCATTTTTTTACAATTATTCATGATTTGTGAAAAATCTTTGCTTCCAGCTTAGAATAACATTTCTAAAAATTCGATTGAATCTACCAGCCGAGAGTTCTTGTTTTTTATACAACAGTGAAAAGCAACATTATAAAAAAATTGTAAATGAAGTCGAAAGCCGTATCAGCGTCAGCTCGAAATATTGCAAGGTTGCGCGCGCGGCGAAGGTACGATCTCATAACCAGCGCGCAAGATTCGCAAAAACAAATCCCGCAAATCCGATATCCATTCCGCGCGGAGTATAACGAGAGCTCGCTTCCGCCGTCGCTGTGCGCGCGGGCGCGCGCAGCATAAACTAGAAATAGAATCAAGGGTACGGGGCGATACAGTTTTCCCGTTCACGGGGAGAAAATGAATCGTACGGCAGGGAGAAAAGATTTCTCGCAATTAAAGCTCGCTCGCGACGGCGGAATTAGCGATTCGATCGGGCTTGGCGCGCTGCTCTGTCGAGCGGCCTTGGCTGAATCCCGTTACGCGCCGACGACCAACGGCAAGAGCACGCGTGTACGTGAGCGATGTTCGGGCGAGGCGAGAGTCGCGCACGGCCGAGAAGAATACGCGTCTCAAGTTTCCTCGGCGCTCGAGCGAGTATATAATCTTCGCTTCGCTCCGCGAGTTTTTAATCTGAGGAACTTTAACGTCCGGGCTTGGCCGACGGGATTTCCGGCTTTTTTTAATTTCCTCGCGTTTCGTAGAGCGAATTCGAAATGCTTGGGCCACCAACTAATGCTTAACTGAATCCCCTAAGATAGAGAAAGAGGGAGAGAGAGAGAGAGAGAGAGAGAGAGAGAGAGAGAGAGAGAGAGAGAGAGAGAGAGAGAGAGAGAGAGAGAGAGAGAGAGAGAGACTGTTTAAAAGAGAAACAAGGTCGTAAACTTTCGACGACGCGTGGGAGGGAAGAACAAAGAATTTAATGCTCGTTTCATTGCTGCAAACTAGACCGCGATTATAAGTTACCTTTTTATTTTTGCGACATTGTGCCGTGTCCTCGACGAGGGAGTGAATTTAATTTTTAAAAAGGCCACATTTCGGAGGGGGGCGTATCCAAGTGTAATTTACAACGCTGCTTCAGTGCTCACTTTTTGCGAGAACACGCGTAGCTTCTCAAGATGGGTATCGTGAAAGAAGGAACAAGAAAGAATAGGGCAAGCGCTACATTGTGTGGCTACTATTGGTCTAAAAGACATCACGACTATACGGGTTTGCCTTTACGAGATACAAAAATGTACTTTCCACGGATGCTACTCTAGGTGGATAAAATTTGTTGTGTTTGATATTGAAATAGTGATGATTTTCTGATAAGTAGGCACTGATCTTTCATTTGTAATAGCGCGTTAATTGAACGAGCGGCAATAAGCGAAAAGTCAGTCGTTTCTCTTAAAAACAAAACCGTTAGCTGGGTTCTTTAATGTGCGCTGCATTGTAAATTCAAAGTAACTCTCAACTCCGTCATAAGAGGCAAGTACGGTAGCATTCACTATCGCGCAAGAGTCACTTGACGAAAGACAGCTAGAGGAAAAAGGAAAGTTCTTACAAAGCAATACATCCATTCGACAGTGGAGCTTGAAAGAGCACTGCTACAGCAACGTGGACTGCGCGGCTTGAAGCTTCGCTATCCCAGCGTCATTAGTCCTTTGCGGCCTCGCAAGCTTTTGTTTTCGTAAGAGAGACTTGTTTTGTTCGACTGCCCCGTATTTTTATTTAATTTGCCGTCTCTACCCCTCTTGTTCGATTCTCAGAGCTGCTCGCGCCAATTTCACCCAGTCTTAGCTCTTTCGCCGAGTCCGAATGAAGCCGTTTCCTATTTTCAATTTATTATCGGGTTGCAGCTACGCGCTATTACCCATTGTTTTCTTTATACGCCACAATGAATTTTCTGGCGTTTGTCCAATTAGCAAGGTGTTGTGTGCCTTCCGACTGAACTCGCTGCCGTTGCCGTGTAGTGGCCGCGGCAGAGAATAAGTTTATCGCTCAATAGGGAGTCGCTTTCGGCGTTCAAATAGAAATATTTGGATTCGAATGGATTTGTTATTGCAGCGCGCGCTGAGAAAAGCACGTTTCGATATACTACAGCGTGAGACCAGATTTGAAGCGCACTCACTTTGCTGAGCGTGGGTCAATTGAGTCCTCGCGTACGGGGCGTCGAAAATATTTTCATAACGACGGATTTCCCGAGTCGTACAAGCAGTGTGAAAAGATTAGCGCAGACGTTGTTTCACAGGTCAATTGGAAAAATAAGGAACGGGTTTTTGGCATTTCTCGAGGACGGATTATTTCCTACGGAACTGCTTAACGTTTGTCAGCATTAAGTAATTTTCTCGCAATTTTGCGACAGTTAACGTACGCTTTCTTCGCGTTTGAATGTGCTCCAAGTGCTCTAGACTCATCGATGTACTTTGAATGGCGGTGAAAATAGGGAGAAAGAAGTTACATCAAAGAAAAAAATAATCCAAGTGAATGTCTCAAGTATGCAACGCATAATTAACGCTCGAGGGCAAACTCGAGAATCTCGTTTTCTCGTCGTTAACTCGGTCGATGAAGAAATACACGAGCTCGAGTAAATGGTTGGAAAGAAAAGTGGAAAGTCACGGGCAATCCGTAGACAACCAAATGGAAAAAGGTCCGCTCGCTTTTACGATCAAGTAGTGTAGCTCGGGCTTCGGTCAGCCTCGCCGTCGCGTCACACAAAGCCTTCCGAGTACACAGTGAATACACGCTGGAGTTGTCGTCGCTCCATCCTTCTTTCCCCTCGTGATTTTTGAAGGGCGCAACTGGAAAAAGAGGACTCACGTGCGAACGTGCGTGCGTGAAAGGAGCCTCGAGGATTTCGCCAGGGGTTTCCTTGCTCCTGAAAAGAGTCGTCGCGTGTATGCGTGCCTGCTATTATTATCGGCCCTTTGCACGAGCGGGACGAAAGTTCTTTTCCTCTTTTATGAGAAAGGAATATAGTTTTTCAAGTGAGTGCCGCGGATGACGAGCAGCTTAGTTATTAAGGAGGAAACGATGCGAGAGAACGCGTACGTGATCTTCATTTTACGGGATACGTCGGTGATCGTGGTTTTTCTTCTCATCTTCCTTTCGGAAAGCGAGCGTTCGAATTGAACTAAAAGCTGGAAAGATACCCGGTCATTAGAAGAAAAAAAAAATATTCCATTGCCTATAGGTGTCACATTCATCAGACTCGTCTACAGAATTAATCAATATACATGTATTGCCAGGCACGTGCGCGTATACATTTTAATCTACTTACGCTCCTTTCTACGTTCTTTATCGCGTACACATTTCTTACCGAACAATTATACCGTACAATTATATTACGGCTATGTGCAAAGACAGTCCTATTTCCCAGAGCGTAAGCGTACATATCATTAGGAATCGCCGAAGTTGTTGCCTCCGGAAATTCACGCGTAATCACGAGGAATTACGCGCTCATCAAAAACACTCGGGTGAGAGCAGTGTTGTGTCGAGCGAGCGTGGGAAAACATTTACGGACGCCACGCCGTGCGCACATAATTCAAGTAGTCGAGCAGTCCTCGCTGAGGAGGATATCATTATCAAACCGCGGCGATTTATCGAAAAGCTTGCGGCGGCGACGCCGAGCTCGTAAATACCCGTTTGCCCTTTTACTTTAGCGAATCCCTCGCGCGTCATTGCCGCAATCGTATGAATCACTTGCATACGCGCAGATCGTCCTTGGCTTAAAGTCTTGATTATTCCGGTTCTCGCTTTTCGCGGGGGCGACTGTCGCGCGTCGTCGTTTCTTTTTCCCGCGGCGAAACGAAAAGCTGTCTGTAATTATTATTCCGGTTTAATTTAACCGATTTAATTTAATTTAACCGATGCGGATTCATCGCTTATTTTTAAGCGTCGCACGCGTGCCAAGGCAACGAAAGCTGCCTCGGAATTCGTTTCTCGTGCTACCCACTCGTCTGTCGAGAGAGAAACTGTAGGCGCTGGGCGCGAACGAGGAACAAGTGAATAATTTTGGTTCGATGTCTCTCGTCTCGTCGAGCTTACCAGTGAACCGAGGGTGGAGCCGTTACCGTCGCTCTTTTTTCTCGCCACGCGTCGGTCGTCGCCGACTTGCTAATTAACTCAGCAAAACTTTCACGCGGGCGCTGTTTCCTCTATCGGAGCATTCAATGGCCATCACACGTCTGTCGCCTTTTCATTGTCGCTCGTCGCGCCTCGATTCGATCGGAGAAAATGCTCATCCAGCTCGCGCTCGAGTTGAGGAACAGAGGGGCTTTCCTTTCGTTTGCTCGCGAGACTAAGTAGCTCGATGACCGTCTATACTTCCGCTAGGTGGTTCTCGGTCGAACGCGAGGGAACATGTTTGCCTTCTGCTCGTGCGAGCGTGCCAGGCTAGTCCGCTCTATCCGCCGAGTGATCACGTAGTGGACCGTGTGTGCCTACTCTCCAGCGCGTTCCGCTCGACACGCTTGCAACGCTCGCGGGCGAGATTGACAAATAAACGCAGTGCGTGTCTTGCGGTGGCTGCCGAGCACTCGGTTCAAATCAAGACGATTGTAGGAATCGCCGCTCGGCCCCGTCGGAGACGCCAGCGCGGTCGACGCGCGCCACGTCGGAAACCGAACGCTCGAAGCCTCTCTAGCTGCCGTACGCGCGCCAGGAGGATCGTTTCCGCCGATCACGGCCGCCGCACTTCCGCGATGTCGAGGCGCCGCTCGGCGGCACAGTCAGTTGCTGTCGCTCGACCTACCTGTTGCCTCCGTCGGCCGTCTCACAGCAGCGGTGCAGCGCGGCGAAACAGCAGCTCGATCGGCGTCGTGGTCGGTAGCCGCGGCGTCGACATGCCGCGTCGGTATCGCCTGCCGAGCGTCCTCCCGAGGCTGCTTCCGAGCGTGGCAAACAAACAACGAGGCTGGACAGCAGCGCGCGCGTCCCGCTCGCGGCTCGCCTCTCACGGGCAACTGAAGCGGGCTCCTGATAAACAAGAGCGACAGAGAAAGAGAGAGAGAGAGAGAGAGAGATACAGAGACGGCAGACCCCTTCCTTTTCGCAGGCGTACGCATGCGCGGCCTTTTGGCCAGGGTATAGGCCTGGGCTGCAGGTGGCGGCGCCTGCTTGCATCAATACCAACATCCCTACCTATCCCCCCTCCCCCTTACATCCCTTGAGTCTTACTCTCGCTGGCGCGCTCCCGTGGCCGTCGACGGAGCGCGAGCGTGGGCTGCCTGCCGCCGGCCCGCCTCTCTGCACTATTTTTAGGGACGCTCTGGTCCGTCTCTATGCTCGTACTTGTTGAATCGACGACGCGCGTGCAAATTACCGCGCTGACTAATTCCTCCTCCTCCGTTGCCCCCCCCCCCCTACGCCGTTCTTCCGCGCGAGCGTGGGTGGGATTCCTCGCGACACTTATGATTTGTCGGGTGTCAAGGCTCCTCGCCCATGCGTGCGGGACGGCTTGTACGCGCCGCGCTCTCGCTTGAATGCCCGACGACTGATCCGGCGAGCTTTCGGGACTGCACCGAAAGTTACGGCTCTCCTCTCGTCAACGCGATATCCCGCTCGATCGGAATGTTTTGCTCCCTTTTAATGCTCATTCCGGAAATACCTAACTTGAGCGGAGAATAATTGTCGCCGGCGCGAAGGTAAGTCAGAGCTGTCGCGGGAGAATGTTATTGTAGAGCTGAGAAAAGAATTTTTATTTTTGCACCAACGACATTCCAAACGATCACTCTGTCTCTCTGTTTTCGTGTCACTGAAATAAAAACGCAGCTTTGTTCCTGCTCCGATCATGCTGTTTCAATTCACGAAAAGAAGTCGTTTCATTACCAGGCTCTTCCCGAAAAATACATTCTCCGGTCGGCAATCAAGGAGCTCATTAAGTGCGTTAATTTGCGCGGATTAAGCTGCGAGAGGGGTTGGGAAAACGACCTCTGGTTTAAACTTCTGCCGTTATATTTACTGTTACAATCTCATCAGACGCTCGCTAATTCGATCTGCGCGCAATGGAGATTCGCAAATATTGACTTGCAACTCACTTTCTCTCTCGCTCGCTCGCCTTTATTCACTTAGACGGCTGCTGCTCGCGCGCGCGCGCGTGTGTGTGTGTATGTGTACGCGGTACTTTAATGGTCAAGGACAGCGGAGAAACGCGCAAAGATCTTTCATTTCCGAGATAAATTCACTTATCTCTTTTCCCCGTCTCTCCGATCGATCTTATCATTGCGCGTTACTGTAATATCGTCGAGAATATGTTTACGTCTTACATTTCGCGCAATTCGACTCCATTTCTTAGCCGCGCGACATATTTCTTTTTTTAAATTGAAATTTTTAACTGCACGGTGCAGCTGCAAATTAAACGAGAAAACTTTTGCGCGAAGCCAGCACGATGCGTCGCCAATAAAGTTTGTCACTCTTGCGAAACTTAATTTATCTTTGAAATTTCCGAATCATCCGCGCGACAAAACAATTCGGCATATGAAAAAATTCCAGCAGGCGCGATCGGATGTACATAATGAAAATTCAATTGTGGCGTGCATATAAACTCGCATACTTCATCGACCAAGAGGAGATAAAGAATACACAACCTTCGCATATTCGTACACTCGCGTCTGTTGCCGGCATTCCCGATAGATCCGACGTGGAAAGAATTTTTTTCTTCTCTACGATGAAATATGTCTGTCTCTGTCTCTGTCTCTGTCTCTCTCTCTCTCTCTCTCTCTCTCTCTCTTCGTTCGCATTGATACACAGTGTTCGCGCACCACTCCATGATGCCGACAGCTGCTCTTTCAATCGCTGTTTCGTTCCGATGGCATCGAGTGGCTTTTAAAATTTCTGCCGCAACGATGCTTGCGACTGTCTACAAGCTGTACTTTTCGCTACTGCTATTTCACTGAAACTCTCGCTATCGCCATTATTCTAGGATTCTCGTTACTTTCGTCAAATCGAAACGAGGTAAAGAATTTCATCGATCAAATTACAGAAACGAATGAAAGTGTAGCCCCGAGCTTGCTCTTTGGACCGTGTCGCGCTCGAAGCATCGCGGATACTACCCGTTAACGTACCTTTCTTGGCGCAACGACGCGGTCAGTCGTTAAGACGAACGCTTCCCGCATCAATGCTATAAAATCACCTCGTAACACTATGAGATACTCTGCACTTGATGCGCTTTTTGATCCGCGTAAGGAAACATGTGTTCGCATTGAAATATCAAGTATTTCTGTTTATAGCGAGGATCGTGCTTTTCAAATAGTAAATACCTATAGTTTTCACGTTGCTAAATATTCAGTCTGTGATCATTTGATCCGTCCGATATTTTTCACTTCAGATCACAAGTCACATTAATTGCGGGATTAATTTCGACACAATTGGTGAACACGACAACGCAAATACAATAATGACACGTTCTCATCCTAATACGTGTAATTTTGTTTCTGCAATAATACACCGCGGTAATCAGCAATTATTCAAAAGTAGCCGTCAAAGTCGATGAATAATTGGCGCAGTCGAAATCGCTCAAATTATAATGACTCCGCGCGCCGAGGCAGACAAATAAATTCGTAAAGAAGCCGCGCAGACGCACGCGCGCGCACGGATTACGGTTGCGTTCGGTCACCCAGGTTCGATTCAATTAATTAAATAAACATTAGCACCTCGCTCTCGGAAATTGATGTGACATACGTCGCGGGAGACGGCGAGTTACGAAAACTCGCGCGCGCGTGCTGCTAACGTAATTCGACGACGCCGAGCATTTATCGCCGGCGACGACGATAAAGGCAGCCGTAATTATTTTACGCACGCGCGAGCCCGTATGTACTTTTCGTGCTACTGTCCAATATTATATTTGAGAGAGATGTCCCTCTTCCCCTTTTTTCTTTTTTGTCGGTCGGTGGGGGAGTTTTAATTTAACGTTCGTACTATAACATGAGCCCATTGTATAACTCGCGCCCTTGCTTCGACCGCACACTGAATATTATTTTTTACACGACCGAAAAGAAAAAAAAAAAAGAAAGTTCGATATCTTGCCACACGGTGGAGAAAAAAAAATCGTATTTTTGGATTATGAAATGCGAATGATACGGGTCGTTGGTATTTTCAAGAGGCGTGAAAAAGTTGTTGAATCAACAATAATAACCAAAAAGTCAACAATAGAAAAAAACAATAAAGGGAGATGGAAAAATGCTAGGTTTCAAAGCGTTTTTAGCTTCGGTAGAAGTCCCGTTTATTTCAATTCTGACGGGAAAATTCATTGCAATGTAAAAATATGGAAAGCCGGTGATGGATTGCAGCGGGGAAACAAGTGGCGCTGATGCCCGAGCAATTTTCGCGTAACAAAGCGCCTCTCTCTCTGCCTCGATCCCCAAAGGGGTTCTAAAAACCCTCCGCGTATAGAAGCTTGTTCAACAAATCACAAGTATTTATAACGCGCCGCGCGCCGCTTTATATCCTTTGTACACGACGCGGCGTAGCGTTTCGCCTTTTGATCGTGGCCTCCACAGCAAGGGAATAAACTTTTGACGAACCATCGGTGTCAAACGGCAAGAATATGGCGCGAAGGCTTAGATGAATAAATTCATTAATGTCGAAAGGCAAAGCCTGGAAGAAAGGGAAATCAATGATTGGCTTTTATTGTATATATATTGTGCGCGAGTGATAATGCCAAGAGGATTATCCGTGAGGGCATTGCGTTTATCGTTGAAATACGAGTACATGAATTGCCCCGCGTCGAAAATTCAATTAAGCCATATGGAAGGAATAACACCTTAAGTAGACTTAAAGCGTTATTCGACTTTCATGAAGTCGCGCTCCCTTTAATCCAACGAAACTCGCCCGAGTTCGAATTGCATTTTCTTTCGATGGGAAAAACAAACAGTAAGAATTCTCTTTCGGTTATTTTCAATTGGTGTTACAAAGTTAGTCTTGCAGCGTGGAAAACTCGAGTTTTTGTTAGAGCGTAATCTTCCCAGGGTGTAACGACGGAAAACGCTTGGCCCTGATGGCGACGCGCGTTTGGAATTCCTCTCTAATTGAATTTCTAGAAGCGCCTTCGCAGCGCAAATACCAAAAATCGTCGTCTGCGAGCGATAACTGCGCGCATCGGCGCCGCGTCCCGGGCCTCGCGCGGAAAATCGCGCGTGCCGCTGAGATTTTTCAGGCGCGTCGCGGAATCGATGCTCGCCGCCGAGAGCGCCGCGCGAAACAATGGCGAGCAATTCCGAAAATAAATTAGCGCGGGCACTGGGACAAAAGGTAGCGCGAGCATCTCGTTTAGCTTGTCGCCTTGACATTAATAAACTATTAATCCCAGGCTGCGCCTCTCGTCGCTGGGCGGTGCGGTTTGGCTCGGCCGAGCGCTGTCGCGCGCAGAAAGACGAAAGCCTCCCACTCCCCCCTCGATTTCCCGAATTGCCCCTTCCATGGGGCGCATCCGGGTCAAGGTCGCCGCGCTGGCATCCCACGCAGAGACGGCCACGGCGTGTATACGCACCTCTCTCTCTCTCTCTCTCTCTCTCTCTCTCTCTCTCTCTCTCTCTCTCTCTCTCTCTGCCGATGTATTATCGATATCGTTTGGGGTAGAAGCGCGGCGCGAGGACGCCGGATATAATTGTGCCGTAGCCCCGTGGCTTTCGCGATTTTACCGTCTACCGTGCAGCCTCTCCACCTCGATGCCAGGCCGATAATGCAGCCTGATTCGTTGCGTTGATTGAATAGAGGCCGCGACGCATCGTGGACACGTGCGCCTCGCTCCTATGATTGCGCGCCGCTCGCGTTTCCCCCGTACGCCTATCGAACCCCCGACTCTCTCGCTTTCGTCGATCGCGACTGCTCGCGTCTTTTCTACACGCCCCGTGCGCGCCCCGACCGCCGACGACTATTTTTTTCATTTTTTATGGCGACCCCGGCGCTGATTTTTACTTTCTTCTGCTCAAACGGCATTTACGGTCGCC